AAAGAGCGTGTTACAGTTCTTGTTGCAGCCAACATGTCCGGTTCCATAAAAAGGAAGCTTTTGGTGATAGGAAAAAGTAAAATGCCGCGCTGTTTTAAAAACGTGAAAAATCTCCCTGTTGATTATGATTTCAATAAAAAAGCCTGGATGACGTCAGCTATTTTTGAAAAGACTTTACTAAAATGGGACAGTGAACTTTTACAACAAAAGAAACACATAATTTTAATTGTCGACAACTGTCCTTCCCACCCCCAGTTGACAGGTTAAAACAAATTAACTTTGATGGTACACAAGGCAAATATCGAACACAGTATTTAATTAAATCTTGCCCAAGTACTTTCGATCACAAGATCATCCTCAGGGGCATTTCGTCAATTGTGGCCTATCCAGCAATAATGGAATGTCATACATGTAAACTGGGACATAACAAATACACTAAAGACAAACAAACACTTTAAAATTTAAATTGGAGAAGCTACATTTTTATATTATAGAAGCCGGAGACAGAATCATTCTGTCTCCGGCTTCTATAATATAAAAATGTAGCTTCTCCAATTTAAATTTTAAAGTGTTTGTTTGTCTTTAGTGTATTTGTTATGTCCCAGTTTACATGTATGACATTCCATTATTGCTGGATAGGCCACAATTGACGAAATGCCCCTGAGGATGATCTTGTGATCGAAAGTACTTGGGCAAGATTTAATTAAATACTGTGTTCGATATTTGCCTTGTGTACCATCAAAGTTCATTTATTCGAACATTCAACCTTATATTAAAACAAATTAAACTCGTTTTTCTGCCTCCAAATTGTACGTCTGTACTGCAGCCCATGGACCAAGGAGTTATAAGAAGTCTTAAAGCATGCTTTCGGAAAGAATTGGTGTACAAAATCATCGAAAAGAGAGAGAATAACGACGATACGAAAGTCAGTATTCTTGACGCTGTACTAATGATATCAAAGGCATGGGAATCTGTGCGGAAGGAAACGATCATCAACTGTTTTCGTTTTTCCGGCCTAACTAAAGACTTACAACCATCAGGAATCGCATACAACGATATTGCACAAACGCATTTGCAGGATGCCATTTCTCTTTTCAGTTCTGACTGCTCTGCAGATGACTATGTACGAGTGGATGACGAAATAAGTACGAGCGGAGAACTCTCAGATATTGACATCGTACTGAGTCACCAAACTAGTGACAAACAAAGTACTGATGAGGCTGATGAAGAATTGGAAGATTTCGGCAAAATCCATACTGTTGCTAAAGCGTATGCTGCTTGTTCCACCATACGAGCATTTATTCAGACTGCTGAAACTTCCCAGAGTGTAAAAGAATCATTATCGATTGTTTCCACATCAATTGAAAAAACGTTTTTTTCAGAAGTTTAAGGAAGGCGACAAACAAAAATTACAGACTTTTTTCATTAACTATTCAGGTAAAATGTGTTTACATATTTTGTAATACATATATGTATGTATTTTTTTTTGTCTTTTTAAAATAAATAGTATATGTATGCCTACATTTTTATAATACGAAGATTTGGAGAAGCCGTTATATTATGTGTATACTTTATTCACTACTTATACTTATTTCAATACATATTATACGTATATGTATGTACATATTTAGATTTGCTTAAGTACAATAAACACATATGTTAAATGTTATGTATATGTTATTATAACATATTATAAGTATAGTTAAAGTAACACATTTTTGCGTCATAACCCTAGGTACAACGAACTAACTGTCCCTATTAGTGTAATATCGTTTATAGCAACCTGTTCATTATAACCGATAGAACTGCTTACAGAGAACACTGGCTACAACATACAAAAAGCACCAGTTCCCTGAAGTTCGTTATAAACGATTTTGACTGTATATATATATATATATATATATATATATATATATATATATATATATATATATATATATATATATATATATATATATCGGACATGCAATTAAAAATGACAAGAAAAATCAAACCCTAGAGATTAAAAGAAGAACAAAACTGTCATGGGCTGCTTTTGGTAAGTTGAGCTTCATTTTAAAAGACAGAAAAATCTCAATATACTTAAAACGAAAAACCTATGACACTTGTATACTACCAGTTGCTACTTATGGATAGAAACTATGGCAATAACAAGAAAAATGGCGACATTAAGATGGCAATGGGTAGCACATGTAGCAAGCAGAGACACCAACAGATGGTCTCATAAAGTGACATTCTGGAGACCTCGAAAAGCAAAAAGAAGCATGGGAAGAACTAGAAAGAGATAGATAAACGATACAGCAGCTGTAGCTGGAAAGCAGTGGATAAAAATTGCAAAATATAGGGAAGCGTGGAACCAATTGGAGGAGGTCTATACCCAACAATGAATAAATGAAGGCTGAAGAAGAAGAAGATGCAAGCTGAAATACTTCGGTCACATTATGCGACACCTGAAAAATATAAACTTTTGTATTTGATAATACAGGTAAAGATCCAAGATAAACGTGATCCTGATCGAAGAAGAACATCATGGGTGAAAAATCTAAGACAATGGTATGAAAAATCGACTACATTATTATTTAGAGCTGTTATCACGATAGAGAATAAGGTAACCAACACGATATTCAACGCTCCGTAACGGTCAGGAAACTAAAAGAAGAAAAAGTGTCAAAACTTACATGCTTACGGAATATGCTTACTACGAAATATATCGCAGTAGGTCTATGACTATGATGATATCGATACGTTTTATGAAAGCATTTCTAAAGCTATGGAGGAATATAAAACTCGCGTACCAGAAATAACAGGCGATTTTAACACAAAATTTAGTGAAAAACCAAACGACAAACAATTTAAAATAGGAAATTTCTCTTATGGTAAAAGAAATATAGTGGAGTATCCAAAAAACAAAAACATATACCAAATGAAGAAGAAAACAAAATACTAGCAGTAATCGAAAGGAACAGAAATCTTGAAAGGTTGAACAAAAACTGACAAAACCAAAACGAATAAAATTATTGAGGAGCAAAAAGAATAAAAAAGAATAAAAGAATTAAAGGCAAAAGTCATGAAAATAAGACAGGAACACGAACAGCTACGGAAAGACAAATAAGAGCAAAACAACTACAGAAAGATATGTAGTAAGAGAAATAGCAAAACTAAAATGGTAATTAAGATACGTCAAATTTGAAGATGGAAGATGCACTAGTTTAATGGTACATTAACATATAACAAACAAGGAAGACCACAGACGGCCTTCAAAATTTAAGGGCCACAGGTGGATTCGGGAAAGTTTTTCGTGAAAAGTTTTTATTCAGCACTAAGCAGAGTGGCGGCCACATCCCAGTGGCTAGGTACTGGCTTTTCAAGTCAGACCAATCGAGTTCGGTCCACTAGAAATACAGCCACCAAAAATTTTCAATGTATATTTTAACTGATCTGTCACCGTTCTTCGGAAGGCAAGTAAAGCCGTCAGCCCCACCTAGGTAAGTATTCCTTTCACACTAAAACGTGAGCCAGACGTTTAGATGAATGGAAGTTGTATAATGAGCTTAATTGGCTGCAGTACGACCGACATACGACGTATGGACGTACGGACGAATTACGGCGAATAACAATAAACAGCTGTGGAAGGAAAGAAGGATGAATAGGAAGCTATCTTTTATTTGTCTTTAAGCAACTTATTATTCTGTTTAGTTCTTTCAATAGATACATAACTTCTCCACAATCCGGATTTCCACATAGTTACTTATGATTGGTTGATACGTCAGGTAGATTTTATATTTAACTAAAAGGTTTTAATTTTAATCTTTATAACCCCCCAGATTGACAGAATTCAACAAAAAGCCCAGAGTGAGAAGAAACTTCAAATCATACCACACACACAAGGAAGACAGTTCGTAGCTCAAATCACCCAGAATATCCCTTATCGCCTCATACACAGTGGGCCCAGCTGCTCAAATAAGGATACAGTCTGTATTGTGTTAATAATTTACAGATTATGATTTTTTGTCCATAGGTCACCTACAAAAAAAATTACAAAAAACACAAAAAACCGGCTTCGGCCACCAAAAAAATCAAAAAATACTAACAAAACACCGGCTTCGGCCACCAAAAAAACTAACAAAAACCCCAAAACCCGGGCACGTAGGGGCCAACCGCCTTGGGCACCAAGTCGCCGAACTAAGCCGGAACTCAGAGCGGAGACTTGAGGCCCAAGTAAGCAATTTTAGTTCGCGGATAAGCCACATTAAGATAAACAGGAATATAACGGAGATGCGCTGTCCTGAGTTTTGCATTCGGTTAGGAAACCATGTTGGGGTTCTATTACCCAGGACCTCCACATGAAGAGCATTTTTGGCATGTTTTGGTGTGTTAAAAACAGGGTGATTCCTGTTTTTAACACACCTTGCTCTCCAATGAATTGTTACACCCGATCGTACTACCTGGGTGAACATTTCTCATAGGCTGGGTTTAATCAAATTGCTTGCTTGCTTGCTAAATCTTTATAAATGAAAGTCCTACATAGTTTAAAATTGTCAACAAGGACTAAATGTGAAATAATTTTACTTTTGTTGAATCCATGAAGCTTCATGGATTCTCTTTTTGGAACAAAGTTATTTGAGAAATATAACAAAACTACAGTGAAAATAAAGTTTATAATATTGGTGTTGTTTATGTTTCTGTACTGTATTTGTAATACTATTTTTGTTTAAAATAAAAAAAGATATTTGATTTCCTCTTCAGATCAATACTGATTTGGTCCTTCCATATCTATTGTTTTTATTGTTCCTTAAAATCCGGTACTAGGAAAATATATTATCGTAAACTAAATGTTTCTCTAATTGCCTCGCTTACTACCAACATCCCACAGAGATGAGATAAGATGACATAGGGATAAATAATTTGAGGACGTACAATAAGCAAATTAGTCATATATATGTCCCAGATAGTGATGTTGGGCAATATATTACAAAGAAATGATAAAGAAACATACTTACTTTGCATTTAGTAAAAACTAGTCTATTTTCTAAATCTTGTACTGTTAACAAAGGTCTACCCTCGCCTAAAGGTTCCATCAGTCCAGACTCGGAAGTAATTTCTCTATAAGTTAACTAAAAAATAAAAACACCTAATATAAACTATAAACAATATCACAAGAATCCTTACCTGTAAATCATGTACTACTTGGTTTATCACAGGAAGGTCATCATGATTAGGTTTGGTGCAACTTTGTATCGTAATAAGCAGTTTTAAAATTTCTCTGTAATGTTCTAGGGGTTTATGAATAAAAGTAGTTATATCCGGCCTCCTTCTGGGTACTTGCGGTACTTGAATAAACCTGTAAAGTAGTTGATTTTCAAGCAGGTATCATCGAGTTGAACAATGAATATGCAATAATATCATGTATTAGCTCATTGTGTAAAAATCTAGGGAGTTGTTGCAAATATACTATTCTTGTTTCTAGCATTCAGTGCGTCATTGTTTTTATTTTTTCAATCTCCTTGAAGTCTTCTACATTTAATTTCCTTGTTAATATTTGATATCTCGTTTTTTGAACGTTATAGAGTTGATTATAATTACTATTAAAAAGATGCTGCTTAAGACGTAACGGTAATAAATCAATTTTTAACTGGAAGTGGTTAAAGCGAAGATAGTCTTAAAAGTAAAGAAGAACATTTACTGAACAAATGCCCCAAAAAGCCTTTATATTGCCTGTCTTTTTGGAGAAATAACTCCAGAAAAATGGAATAGTGCCGTTATGACAATATTGCATAAAAAGGAAGATGTAATAAAAATTGGAAACCATAGACCTATCAGCTTGATAGGTCTATGGTCTATGGTCTATGGACCTATCTCATTTATATTAAGGAGCTAGATTTTCACTAACCACTAGAGCAAGATAGATTAACACATTTAGCGCCACGCTGTAATTGGTTATTCACTCCCTGGGACCAAACATATGAAATGCCTTTTTTTCTATAAATCTATTTTGTAACTGATAATTATTATATTTTAAACCATACTTTCTTCCAACTTTGTTTTTTGTGATTTTTTTTAACGCCCACCAGTGGTCACGTGGTCCCAGGATGTAATTTTACAGTGTGGGATCAAATGTCCACCAGTGGTCATGCATTTTATTGTTTCTTTTGTTGCAGATTTTAAACAATAATGGCAAGAAAAAGTCTTACAGAAGAAGAATTGCTTCGGGAGTTGGAAAATTTGTCTGATGTTGAACGACGATGTGGACGACGACTCCACTGCAGATCGGAATTACTCATATGAAGGAAGCTCCTATTCAAGTGAGGATGAATTAGCTGTATCTGATGTCGAGGACGAAGCTGCTGAAGTTGTTCCTCTGGCCGATATTATACCCGAGACCAAGTGGGAGCCTGTGGCAGGAGACAGATTGAAATTTAATTTTCTTGCTACCCACACTGGTGTACACGAAAATATAATCCATAAACTTCGTGGTGCATCTCCTATAACTAATTTTGAACACTTCATAGACGATGAGATTATCTCACTGTTAGTGGAAGAAACCAATAGATTTGCTGCGCAAAGAAATACTGCGAATGATGCTGCCCCAGCAGGAAGCCAAACTCCAAGACTTAATAAATGGGTTGACACTGATTCTATAGAGATGCGCAAGTTTTGGGTATCGTTGTATGGATGGGACTTATGCATTTGCCAAAATTGAGGGATTACTGGAGCACAAAAAGAATTTATGAAAATGGAATTCCAAAAATAATGAGCCGCAATAGATTTGAGATGTTACTTTCGATGTTTCATCTATCAAATAATGAGCAGCCAATTAATCCAGAAGACAGGCTTCACCAAATCCCAAATTTTTTGAACTTACTAGAAAAGAAATTCAAAGAATTGTATAATCCCGAAGAAGAAGTTTGTATTGACGAAAGCAACGTACCATTTCGAGGACGTATTTATTTCCGACAGTACTTTCCTAATAAAAGGTATAAGTATGGGATAAATGTTTTCAAACTCTGTGTTTCTGGAGGCTATACATGTTCGTTTAAAGTTTACACAGGCAAAGAAAGAGCAGACGATGTATCAGTTGCCGAAAAAATTGTCACGACACTGATGGAGGGACTTTTTGATACAGGTAGAACTTTATATACCGATAACTGGTACACTAGTGTTTCGCTGTCTAATAGTCTCTAATGAAAAGATAAAAGAGATGTTCTTATGCTCAGTACCAAACATGACAACTCTATAGTGACAGTAACTCGCAGAGGAGGACAAGAAGTTAATAAACCAGCGATAGTTGTAGATTACAACAAAGGAAAAGCTGTTGTCGACCAGTCTGACCAGATGGCATCTTATGCGCCATACGTGAAAAGAACCGTCAAGTGGTATAAGCGACTCGCTTTTTATTTTGTTACTGTAACAGCTATGGTAAATGCTCTGCATCTGTATAACAAAATTAATAATAACAAAATGGGCATAATAGAATTCAAAGAAAATATCATCGAGGCTTTGGTTTATCAAGATTTAAATCCAATTCTATCAAGGCCTTCCACTTCCAAGATAAAACATTTCCTGAAAGAATACGAGGGACAGAAGAGGGTTACCAGAAAAAGGTGCAGTGCATGCTACAAGACTATGTCTCAGCGACAAAATCCAGCTTATGCTCGTAAAAATGCGAAAAAAATAAATACATATTGTGATACATGTAACCTGCCAATGTGCCTCGAATGTTTTCAAAAATATCTGGCAACTATCTCATTTCCAAAAGTTTAATTTTTATTATTTTTGTTGTGTTACGTTAACATTGCTGGTTTTTTAATATTTTGCTCACTTTGTTCGTTTATTTGTAATAATATTAGGATAAAATTCCATTTATTTTTATAATATACTATCTAAAAATACAAAATTGTATCAGTTTTTTGCACGGCTCAAAATCACAACTGATACATTCATTCTGCTCGGTCCATGTAAAATTCTGTTGTTTCCTGGGACCACTGAATACGTCAACATCAAACTAATATAATTCGTGTCCACGGGTGACCACGGTGACTTGAAGCAACCGACATCAAATGCTCACCGGTGGGCACTCGGTCTTAATGGAAATAATGAAAATGCCCACCGGTGGGCACATGGCGCTAAATGTGTTAAGGAGTGGCTTTGGAACAAATGTCTAGCTACAAGTAATAAAGTCACACAACAAATGGTACAGTTACAATAACAAGAAATTCACTCTTACTCCCTTTAACACCTTGATTGCGTCACGTATCCCCAAGGCATGTGCGTAAGTTTTCAACTGTGCTGTAGTAAAATTGGTCAAACCGTCGCATCTTGCGGTAGCGATAAAAATGGTATTTGTACGTCGTTTTAAGTGTAACAAATAGCTATCGATAGCAAATTTTTAATTCTCGCTACTGATGTCGGTAATATGAAACATGCCCCCGGAGACACGTGCCACACTAAAATAAAAATTTATTGTTATCATGCGTCACAGACCCGAGAGGCATGTGTAATTGCCATTCGTCATCAACCTGTTGGTGCTTGTCACTGTATACATTCAGTTTCAGTTTACTGTATTTCATTGAAGTATAAACAGTACTTGTTAAAATGTCGAAAAGAGCAAGATATAATGCTGCAAAGGCAACAAGGGCAACAAAAGGTGGTAGAAGTTGCAAATCTGCAAACAATCAGTGATCATAAAAACTTTGGAGAGAGCTCTGAAATAAATACTATTTTAAATGAATTACAGATAATACAGGGTTGATTGAAAGTCGTGAAAATTTTCATAATGAAAACAAACAACAGTTTATACGAACAGAAATAGAACACGAAATATATAACGACCATCTGATGAAGTCAATATGGAGAATGAGCAGACAGCAACTCAATCTTCATCTGATGCCGACAGTATGGAAGATCCCTTTGACAGTGACGATTCATTACTAGATAAAAGTTATTTTTCTAAATCTTCTTCATCCTCTGATTTAAATTCTTCTATTGATAGTGATGACGAAATTATTACTACACCATATGAGCAAGTTCCATCAGATAATAATAAACAGAGTGCTGAGAATAGTGATAGTGATGAATGGTGTGATTTAGAATATGTAGATGCTGACGATTTTGTAGTAAGAAAGAATATATTAGTTGGTATCAAACCACATGCGGTACAGAAACGATTAGACGTTTTTAGTAAATTCGTAACTGATAAAATATTGGATATTATTGTTAATAAAACCAACATTTTTTGTTATGATCGCCCTAAAATAGCAGCAAGTAAAGTTAGGATAGCTATGTTGATCGCCAACATCCGGAATGGATAGGCACCATAAGAAGAAGAATAACCTTGTACTGTGCGAAAACATTTTAACATACGGAATGAACAAATGATACTATAAGTGTCTGGACCACAAGAATGAATTAGTAAGAGACAAGCAAACAACAGAGTTGAATATGAGAATAGGACTAACATGAGCAGAGTCTTTCGTCTTTAGATTGGATATTTCCATATGCTTAAAAATCAAAGGCCTTGATCAGTGTGTGCTTCTGGTTTTAACGCATGGAGCAGAAACGTTGACCCTGAGAAAGGCAAGGAAACTATTTACAGAAACCTATGTGCAGCAGTGAACTCAAAACGGCTATTGATGATAATGATTAATAATTTACCAAATTTATCCAGACCTAAAACCTGCTTATATTGTGTTTATTTCGGCACATTTCATTGAAAGTAATTATCTTAATTTGTTTGAACTACGTTACAGTTTAACATATTGTTTATTTGTCGCTTGATAGTTTTGAAATCACTTTGTCTCTAGATACTTTCCAATCCATTTATATATCTGTAGATACTTCTCTAGCTAATTCCTTAATACTTCATATCTCTTCTTCTTCTTCTTTAAGTTCCATCTTCTATCGAAAGTTGGAAATCATCATGGCTATGCAGACTCTGTTGACTGCCGCTCTAAAACGTTCTGCATTACTGCATTCAAACCATTCCCTTAAGTTCTTAAGCCAGGATATTCTTCGTCTTCCCACATTTCACTTTCCTCGGATTTTGCCCTGCATATTAAGTTGTAATAATGCGCATTTTTGCCATCTCATCACATGCCCTAAGTACTCAAGTTTTCGTCTTTTAATAGTTAAATTATTTCCGCCTCATTTCCTATCCTTCTAGTTACTTCCACGTTTGACATTCTTTGAATCCATGATAGTCGTAGGATTCTTCTGTAATACCAAAATTCAAAGGCGGCCAACTTATTCAGATAGACTTGTTTTAGTAACCACGCTTCCAAGCCATAAAGAAGAGTAGAGAACACGTAACATCGAAGCATTCTCAGGCGTAGTTCTAACCTTATATCCCGACAACAAAGAAGCTTTTTAAGTTTAATGAATGATGTACGTGCTATTTTAATACGTGTCTTAATTTCTTTGGTTTGGTCTACATCTGATGTTATCCATGTTAATAAGTATTTATAGTTAACACTCTTAAAAATCTTGAGTAAGAAAGCATCTGAATATTCTACTTTACTATCAAGTAGTAAAATGAATGTGCACAAAGATGGCATGAATATCGTCATGCTATTTGCCGTACGCAGTCCGAAAAGCCATCAACCATTGAAAGTAAGGCGTGCTACGCCTTACTTTCTATTCGCTATTCGCTCCAAAACTCGATAACTTAGAGAAATTAACGAATAAATGACCGAGTATCAGTAATTGCAAATGCCTCAGAATAAGTAGTCGCCTTTATAACAATGAAAACCTTTTACTTCCAGACAAGTAAAAAAATATTTTAAGGTTAATTAGAAAATAATAACTTTGGTTTGAAATAGAAGCATTGTGTTGCTTTTATTGAATACTACATAATATATATGGTTTTATAACTGCCTTACCTACAAAAATCAGAATTGCAATTTTTGGTCTTGTTAGCGAGGATACAATCCGCCTTCTTGATTCCTGAGCAGTACCTTTTATATGCCATTGTTAATTCCTGTAGCTTTGAGAAGTACGTTTTTGCTAGAAGGTGTATCTGTGGCTCTCCATCATCTTGTACTAAGTGATCTAAAATATCTTCTGTTATTCTAAGGATCTACAACAAAAACACAAATAAATAGGTAATATATAAATATAAATTAAAAAATTCCATAAATTGTTATATTACTTATTACTTATTGTTACAGTTAATCTATAAGCTTTAAACAAGAACCTATGACTAAATAATACAAGTTTTATAAATTAAAGGTAAAATAAATGAAAAACAACGGGTCATTATTCTGTTAAACAAATGAATGTCTTTCATGAAACCAACTAGGCTAAAAACTTGATCGGGTGAGTTTAAAACGTCTTTAATATTTAAATTTAAGTTTATGGTCTCTATGTTTCGCGTTCCGGGAAAACTCGATAAGGATGAGCTTCACAGTTCATTCACTTAGCAAGATTCACTTAGCAGATTTAGCAATTGGGCTTCGGCTTATAGTCATGTGTGAATCGGGTATGTCCAATTCCTAATTTTCAAATGACAGATTTTTCTTTCCTAGAGGTTGAGATTGTTGGAAGCTACAATTTTTTAATAGTCTACCAGATCTCATGTAATGTACTCCTGATTTTGTTCCAGTGGGTTTGCCAGATATGATACTCTTGTTGCTTGAACATTTGCTTTGAACAGATTAAAATATGTTGGACTTTTGAGTATTGAATATTTACATAAGAAGCTTGTTTGGCACCTTGGTCTGCTTTTTTATTACCGGGAATACCGATATGGAATGGTAACTAGATTGTAGTGACATTTACACCTTAAAAAGCGAATGTACCGTAACTCCTATAAATTTCTCGAACTCAGGGATACTGAGCGTAGGATAGACTTTTAAGCGAGTGTAGTGACGAGAGGGTGTCTGTGCATATTGCTTGGTTCATATCATCTGCTTTTAGGTTTTTAAAAGCTTCTAGTGTCACTTAGAGTTCTCCAGTGTATACATTGCATAAATTCGATAATAAAGATGATTTTATTATTTCATCACAACGGCACATCCAACGCTTGCTTTTGGAGACATCTGTATACAAAATTTTTTGGAATTGATTCCTGCTTAAGATTTTTTCGTACCGATGCCTTATGAGAAGGGTTGAGGTATCGTATGCTAAAAAATATATATCTCGGAATATCTCTTTTAATCCTAGATCAGTACAAAATTATTTTTCAAATACACATCCTTCAGGTTATGCTATTTACCTTACACTTGGTACGTATGGTTGCATACGTTTGGTGTAGACACGAATAAAAATTTCTTGTATGTTTGAAAAGTACATTTTTGTGATAGGTCTATTAAAATTTGGCATAGATATTATTAATAACTTTACTAGGTCTTATAATAGTATTATATATCATAATATAATTATCATAGCTTAAGTTATATAGATAAATTAAAGAAAATAACAGCAATAATGTATCATAAATAGAAGAGAAGTTTTAGATTTCAATCGTACAATATGGACACAGAAAGAAATAAATTGAAGCTGCTATGTGAGTTCATCGGCATAATCAAATTCGCGTCTATTGACATAAGAACTTAGATTTAAAAAATCAATGGAAGATAAAAGATAACTAGCAACCGAAAGTATTCATGAAGATCATATAACAAGAAGAAGATGAAACTAGGAAACTATATTGCTTTGTTAAAAATCTATATTGCTGTAGAAGTATAAGCATAATTAAGTCGTTCAGGTCTAAAAACTTTCGTAAAAGGTCTACAGGATGTACCGGGTCACCATATTAAGCTATATGCTTATATCTATTGGAAGTCCTATTGGTACGGACTTATTCTTGCATTCTCATAGAATTAAAATGGATTAAAACAAATATAAACATAAAACAGTGATAAGAACTCAAAAATAATAAAATTCCTTTAAACAAGGATTCTCGATACACCAATCAACAACTGCGGGTTCCAACATGGGAAGATATAGCATAAGAAGACGATCAGAATAGGTACTTTTACAGACAATATCGAATCATTTGAAATATCTCAGTAATGCTTATTCGAAGATCAACGTTTGCGGATCATGTGGAGCAGGGTGTTAAGACTAATAAGGGCATCATTTCACGGAAATCTCCAATAACTTCTCTAGAGAGAATTGATGTGACACATTCTACTTAACAGAGTGTTACAAAACTGCTTTAATAGGGATCAAGATATTAGTGATCTTTAAAAACTATTAGCAAAAAGGTGGTGTTCGAAAGTAAAAACGAGCCAATAAACAGTGCTCTAAGACAATTTAAACGATATTATTTTATGTGTTTCTCGATATAAACAAAATAAACTTATGTGCGTGTATTTATACATGCTGAACAATATGCTATTAATTATCATTATAGTCATTTATGGATGTGAAACTTGAGTGTTGCCTCAAAAATCTATCAACCGCATAGACATCTTTGAAAGGAAGGTGCTAATACGAATACTAGGCCCTTTAAAAAAATAAGTGGCAAATTAAATATAATTATGAAACATAATATTTATAAAAAACCACCTTTATCTCAGTATGTTCGCCTACAGTGTCTTTAATATGTAGGCCGTGTATTTAAGACGGAAGAAAACAGACTTCCCCAAAAACTGTTGAATACAAGAATGTAGGTGAAGAGACCTACTGGACGACATTGCTGTGAATAAAAACGGCGGAACGGCGGAGATTGTCTTCAAACTGTAATGAATGGAGAGTTTGCCGAAAGAGGCCAGGGATTAAATGTATCTATAAAGCCATAAGATGGATGTGCTGAGGAATAGCCATTTAATTTTACAAAAACTCTTTTAAAGAAAAACAAAGTGGAAAACTGTTAACGCTGAGGAACTCCATAAATTTACTAACGTACTTTTTTAGAGATCATAAGCGGGGATGTCATCATATTTCAGTTTTTTTAATTATTCGTGCCCTTCCGGTAGAGATCTATAGAGATGTAACACCGAGCCGCAAGCCCTCATCTCTTGCTGTATTGCTCATTCATAGGTTTATCTGATACCCTAGCGTATTTAAGTTTAAGTAACAGATTCATTACGAATTTGAAATTACTACGTTACCCTTTTTGTTTTCTGGTCTTGGGCTATACCAAGGGTCACTAGATCATTGACACAGTAAAGTGAATGTGATTCAGGCACTTGGCCCGCTTGGCTACCTAACATATTTACAGCGGGGATCTAAAGGAGATATTTCCTGGTATTGGTTAACAAAATAAAGGTCTCCGAGTGTAGTGGTGGATAATCCTGGGCTCCAAGTCTACCTCTGATAAAAGACTACATTTCTCCGGCTTGACAACGAGTCTGCCAAAAGGTTAAACAGATTATACTGAAAGCCCTACTACTAACTCCACCATGGCAATTTTTTGCAGTTAGATGTAAAGAAATGTATGCAGACTGGAGATACTAACGAACTAAAGCATAAAAAATTTTATGAGCAAGACAATTTTTGGTAAAGTTTAAAATAGGGCAGAGCTAGATGTAAAGGTCGCAAGACCAAGTAACAGTGACAAATGTTTCTCACCTGAGGTCAGAAGAAGGCTGTCGTTGTAACCAATAACGAATACAGAATTGTAATACTACTATCACAAGACCAATTTATTCGTAGACGCTACTATCAAAAATGTGGCTGAATCGAAATGGTATTTTTGATTTTATCGCGTGTGGAAGTGGGCGTGGCCCTGTCTGCCGATTTTAGAGAAGTAAAAATTATCAGTCGGTGATTCGAATCTTGTTTTTGTAAGGGAAATCATGTAGAGAAATCAAATATCATGTAGAGAAATCGATTAGATACTGTGTACGATGAATCTTCTCCTTCGACGGTGACCATCAAAAATTGGTTTAACGAGTTTCAATGTAATTGCACGTCGATTTTTAATGAACTACGTCCTGGTGCTCCGCGACACGTCATTGTAGTACAATGGCCCCATTTGGCAAAAACAGTGCTCTTTTCACATGACAAAGCACCAGCTAACACCTCCAATGTCGTTGAAAAAGTCACTCGCTAGATAATGGCTCCAAAATGAATGCCGAAACGTTGAGTTTTAAATTCTCAACGCGGTTTAATCGCGAGGAATTGCTATTATAATACCAATTTCTTTCATTGGTTTATCTCTTACAAGCGGGTTGTCATCCAAACTCATCTAAACTTTTAAATAGACCGCACAATTATTTGGGGAGGTACTTCTACCTTGTTGCTCTGTCAAATTTTTGACCTCAAGGTTGGCTGTCTTTTTACGGTTTAGTTCGGTCTGTTTCAATTAACGCCATTTTCCCGGCAGCATCTGTAAGGCTTTGATCGGTAATTTCATTTACACTACTTTTTAAAATAATTTTTTATTAAACATGACTTTAGTAATGCTACCTAAAGTTAAAATCAAAGCTAAATAATTATTAAATAGTTGGAAGTAAATCTATGATTTTCTTGGTTCTTTTCACCACTTAATATAATATAAAATATTACTTATACTTTAGACCACATGGTCAGTTGCTGTGCTAATTTTTAATAAGTTGCTAAATGTTGTAAGGTAATTGATTGTTTATACAATACTACCGTATAATGTCCAGTTACTTGAGTTTTATTCACAAACTTGTTAATATCTTTGACTGCTACATGTCTTTTTAAGGTAATACTTATAACATCTTTTCCATGATTGTGTGGTTCTCATATTGTACTTTTTAGATGAACTGATGATGCTTTCAGAATACGAAAGCGAAACGTCTTCAAAATAGATAAAATAAGTAGCCTATCAACTTTGTCTTTTATTTCTCCACCTTGAGACCGATATAAGAACCCACCACTCTTCTGAGTGATCCTTATAATGTATATATATATATATATATATATATATATATATATATATATATATATATATATATATATATATATATATCCTAAACCAGTAAAAATAAAGTGAAACTGTATGTATAAATATACTTACTTGTATATTTATATGTACCTAAACCTAAAGCATTTTTAAAATCGTATAAATTTTTTCTAGCCGCAAAGAAGTATATTGAAACATTTTTATTAAAACACGATAATCCCGCTTGCGCAGGTTTATAGCATAAATTGCATAAGAGTTTTGTTAAATTATATAAAAATGAATAATATTCACCTCTTCACAGTTCTGAAACAATATCCGATGTTCCGAAGGTGTAATGAGATCCTTCCTCTCTGCCAGAGCTGAAACAAACCTGGTGATTGCAAACTGTAAAGAAGTGGCATACTGCTGTTCTTTACTAATTAACTGAAACATCGCTTTCCTCCTATTTTCATCGCGATTGTTTGTTGGTTTCTGAAATAAAAAATATAATATAAATTACTTTCTGACTCTAACACTATCTTTTTTGTGTTGCGATATTATAGATTTGTAAAAAATGTGTACGTACAGCTTAAATTTTTAAGAGTAATGTAGAGTAAGACTACTTAAGAGTACTAACTTGCCTATCAAGAGTATGTATGCATTAGGGCTTAATTTTTAACCGATAGATTTTAGCCCTTGTTATAGTGCTATATTACTTATATTTTATTCTTACATGTCTGTGAGTCGAAGTACTGGATCTTAACTACCTACTTTTGATGTATTTTATGTGATCTTGCATTTTGGGGTAATTATTTTGGTCCATGTACCACCAAGTCATCAAATATAAACGACAAAGTGATTATAGTTGTTTATTTCTGCAAAAGCAAAACGACTGATACTAAAGGCTGTGTTCTAACAGCGGATGGAGCAGTCTAATTTGCGATGCTAGTGAGATCAGTTACAACATTTTACCTGCTCAGTTTATTTTTCCATGTAAAAGATACAAATCAAATACTTGGGTACCTATTGGTACTACAAATTGGGTACCTATTGGTTTTGACCTAGTGACATACCTAATATTGTTCTGAAGCTATTTCCTGTGACGTTTTAATAATATTTATTATCTTTAATGGAAATAAAGCAAAATTTTGATTTAAAATACGTTTATTTTGACCTTTTCACACAGTATTTTGAGAACGATGTCGAAAGTGGAAATCTAAACATCAAAATAAACTAATTTTAAACTGAAATTGTGATTAATTCGAATTAAAGATAACAAATAACCTCACGCATAATATGTAAAGAAAAAAAAACTACAACACCGCATTACATTATATGAGCGGTCTAGTTTCAAAACCAGGTGCATCCATTTTTTTGCAGATTTGATTTTTATGTTATTTTTATTGAGTTAAAATACGGAGCCATATGTGTGCCAAGTAAGACTGTTCAAAACAATGTACATTCTATTTGAATTAATTAGCTAAAGTCAAGG